GGTCACGATTGCTAGGGTCCAAAAGTTAGAGGCCCATATGGCCACCTTGCTACATCATATCCATTCTTTACTGCAGAAGTCCATTGCCGAGGTTGAGGACCAGATAGAGAAAAAGGTAGTTCAGCAGACGGACAAGAGCATTCAGGCGGTCCACCAGCACCTCGGTGCTTTTGAGTTGAGAGTACTAGCATGCCCAACCCCCACTATTGATTTGATGACTCTTCAAGAGGCTGTAGTGAGTCTGCGGGCTTATGTTGATGCTATACTATATGTGAGGGTACCCGAGGCTGAGACCGCACCTGCGGAGATTGAGGAGGATACATTGCTTGCTGCACTGTTCACCACCACTACTGCACCGCCACCTCCGCCATGTGAGCTTGCCAAGAGGCACCGTTCCAGCCACACAAGTACAGTGAGTATGATCGGGCTAGGAAGAAGGAGAAGACGGATATAGAGGTTGCGAGGAGAGCCTCGTTAGTTAAAGAAAGGCCTGACAGATGAGGGCTCGTGAGTTAGCTGCTAGGGAGTCCTATTCAAGATTGGAGTTTGTTGAGAGGAGCATCATTGAGGGTGTATATATTGATGTGGGCATCACTGATGGTGACCCTAATACTGAGGGAGCGGGTTCCGGGGAACCAGACCCACCTGCTTGTTTGTCTTTGACGCTATGCGCCTCAGGTTTGCTCCACCTACCACCCTTTCTTTATTTTCTTATGATTTGGGGACAATTGGATGTTTTTTTGTTGGGGGTGGAGAAAATGGAAAGTGAGTGCTAGGGTAAAGTCTGAGTAACCCAACTCACGATCCTCTCTTGGTGGTTTTCTTGCCTATGTTCTTTCGCCCCAAGAGACTGATTACTTTGATTAGACATAATGAATGTTGAATGTGTTGGCTCTAAGCATAATATAGAGATGCACCACTGCATGACCCTCAATCCAACACTTGAACTAGGTTTCCGATAATCTGATAGCGCAATTAGGTGTCAAGAGAGTGTGAGGAAAGTTTATTGGTCCACTGTTGGTACCTAGCTAGAACTTGCCCCATTAGTCCTGCAAAAATAAATGTGTAGGAATTTTAGGAAAGGATAATAGGCACTTTTTCAAATTAGTTTATCTTTAACCTAAATAAAAGAAAATCAAATGAAATTGATCTCTTTTCTTTCCTAGTGAATTTAAGACAGAGGCTTCTCCGCATTTTGGGATAGAGAACTTCTTTTGAAAAAATAAAGCCCACATTTAGAAAATAACATCATGTATAATAGACCTTTATCACCTCATAATAATGAATAAGTCATACCCTCACAAAATTAAGCAATTTCTTCTTTTCCTCATTGTCGAAATTTCTCCAATCATCTACATGTATAGGTGTTAATTATGGAGTTCCTTGCAATAATTCCTAGAAAGCTCGAAAGCTTTCGACCCCCTTTTCCAATAGCCTGATTAGGACTATTAAACAACAAGTCAACTATTTTTCCCGGAGGAAGTTACCAAATAGCTTTTAGTAAAGTAGGTCCACACACCTTTCTTACCTCCGAATTACCTAGAAGGAAAAATATTTGAAGGACATCAAATGATAAAAACTTATATGGTTAAACAATTGAAAGATGCTTCATAGTATGTTAAATAATAGTAACCCAACAAAACAATAGAAAACAAAAATAAAATAAATTACTTGTTGCGTACCTGATGTATCTTTTTCAAATTATGTCTTAATCAAATCTTTACTCTGCTGCAATTCTGGATACCAGATGCTAAAGAGTTATGAACTAGCCAGTAAGGCCAGAAAAATCTTACAGTGAAGAAAATCACCCTAGGCAATAGCAACTAGCCATTCATGGAGACGAAAAACTTGATACACTTATCGAAGATATGTTGTTGGTTGTATTGTCACTACTCACATACACAAGTCTTTCATAAATTTAACCACCATCGACTGAAAGTTTCTTGTTGGTTGATTGTGTTGTCACTACTCATTTATCGAAAAACCATCATTATCTTGAATGTATATTAACTAATGACACTATTTTTGTTAATGTTATTGTTACTCAAGATGGAAACATTAAAACTTCAAGCTTAAGGATTTGATTGAAGATAATGTTTAAGAAAGAACTCTACTAATTTATCCATCTTTCATTGAGTTAGAGAAACAGATCAAGTTGTTGAGCTTCAAGATACAAAGAAGAAATTGGGCAAACCAGATATACATGGCTCTCATTTTCTTAGAGTTATCATATATAATCTAAAGTCAACTTACCAGCAAAAGTAACATTTTTTACTTTTTTCACAGTGAAATGCAGAGATAATCAGCCACATTAACAAGGATGGATCACCTATTTAACAATCAATCTGTGTAACAGCAATATTATGTTAATAAAAAAAGCTCTCCAGTTCCATCAACAATGTTTTCCGTAGCATGTACAACTAATAAGAAAAAGACAACTTAAGAAGTTTTACATGATTCATGAATGACACCAACAAAATTATTCAACTCATTAGACTGATCATCTTGATCTTGGGTTAGATAGTGATTCTGACTATTCATCAGCTTCTCAATATAAGGTTGAGCTTGATCGATGTTCTGTTCATATGTTAACTTCTCAACATATTGTCGCAGACCTTCATCATTTGTAGTCGAGTGTCCAATCTATTGCGACCTCTATTTTGCATACTTTCTGATCTAAAATGAGATAATTACGTAGATGCATAGTTGCACTAGTAGAAGAATAACAGAACACATGCAATAGAAAAGAAAGTAGCATCATCTTAAGCTTTAAATACACATATTAATGCACCAGAATAAATAAAATTTCAATTCATAAAAACATATTGAGACTTGAAAATCACAGGGATAAAACAACAAAACAAAAGAAAAGGCACGCACAAAAGGTTAACACTAATCAACCAACACAAACATGAAAAAGTTACAGCTAACTCACATTCATCTGCTATAAAATGATTAATATTGAAAGGAAATCTGTAAAGATGCTTTATTCAAATTTCTGAATAAAAAATAACAAATACTTAAAGGTTCTTTAATAACATTTGCAAACCACTTATCATTAAGGATCACTTTCATTTTCGAGGGAGGAGAAGCTTGAGTATGGACTTCCATATTAATTGTTATTCCATCAACTCCTCTCCTTACCCAATCATTATTCTCATAATCTGGAACATGGGAATTTCCTAAGATAACCAAGTTAGTGGAATCACTATTCATTGATGACTTGAGTTGCATATTGTTTGCCTCACCCATATCAAAAATTTCTCGAGGTTTAATTAACCTAGGGACAAACCATTTATGATCATGAGGATCTTTCACAAATATTACTTGTAGGGCTTGTTTAAAAAAGATAAAGGGTTCATGACGGTCTCGATTTCCAAAATTAGCCAAGCGTGAGAAATTCACAAATGTGAAACCCACGTCATCTTCCATAATTCCACTACCTTTGGTTACATCAACCCAATCACATTTAAATAAGACAACCTTAAATTCTTCATAGTAATTTAACTCCACAATGTCATTTAGTCTTCCATAATATCACATATTTGTAGGCTTTGGAGCATTGTCGCTTGAACTTGCGTAAATTTCGGCTTTTGAAACAATCATACCACCACTATTTTGTGTTTCTAGGTACTCCTCACTTTGTTTTGTTCGAAACGATACCCATTATACGCATTAAATCTTTTAACAATGTAACTGAGATTTTTTGCAAGAGCTTTAATATTCTTTAAGATACCAAATGTGTCCTCCAATTATTTACCTAACCTAATAGAAAGATACAACTATAAATTTGGATATTAGGACAAGTACAATAATTATGGTAACTGAGAACATAGTCCTACTACTTACATGCTCCTTGAACCACTATCGAAATGCACACGATCAAGTTGATGTTGTGTCAAACGACGCTTCAGATGTGATCTTTTTATTTCATCAATATGACATGTGTTCATGTGACTCATATATCAATTTTGTTAACAAAGTAATTAAGATACACTTAATAAACAATAGACATAACACTTAGTTTTTATAACTTTCAACCACTTCTCACTCACAATTGAAAAGCATATGTCGATGTTCTTGAAATAATGTTTTCTCATCCATTTCATACATCTACTGCACCGTATGTCTCTCCAATGGAAGGAAAAAGGCATTTGTCTTTACTAGTTTCATTTTCATTCTCATCGTTGCATCTTCTTGAACAATAAGACCTTGAATCTCCACCCTCTAAATATTGTGAGCAAAATGTTAAGCATTCATTAGCTATGTATGCTTCTGCTATTGAGCCTTCAGGACATGCACGATTACGAACATATGATTTTAGAGTACCCAAGTACCTATGGAATAAAGTAATGTTATTACGTTTATATGATTTCCATTAACTAGTATCGAATACCAATTATTAGAAATTAACCTCAAAACCATATCCATAATGATTTCGGAAAAGACAAATCTCCTTGGAACTTAAATTAAAAAGAACCAAGAGACCCTATCATAAGCTTTAGCCATGTCTAACTTCACTGCTATTTTCTGCAATGCCTCTCCCTTTAATAAATCCTGACTGATTCCTCGATATATTATATTGGGTACCTTTTTGAAATCCTTTCATGCAGCACTCTAGATATGATTTTGTTTGCAAACGTAGTTAGACTCACTGGTCTAAGATCTGTGAAGTTTACAACCCTCTCTTTTTTTGGTAGCAACACCAGATTAGTGTGTCAAATAAAACGTGGAATTTGCTGTCCACAACAAAAAGGCTATCACCTTTTTGTAATATCCTCACCTATATTCTCCCAAAAGCTTTGGACGAATAGCCCAGAGAAACCATCAGGACCACTTGTACTGTCTCCACTCAACGCAAAAACTACCTTCCTGACCTCCTCCTTAGATGGCATTTATCATCTCTTCATTCTGATCTGATGTAATCAACTTGGGGATAAGGTTCAACATACTATCATCTTCTTGTGTATCCCCATTTTGAATTTCTCCTCAAAGAAAGAAATTGCCTCCGCTCCAACATCATCACTGTTATACACCACCTCACCCTGACCTATTTGAATTTCTGCCAGATGCAGCTTTTTTCTTCTTCCTTTGACGTAATTATGGAAGAACCTAGTATTCTTATGTCCATCCTTAAACCACCTCATCCCAGCTTTTTTCCTCCAAAACTCCTCCTCTAGGTAGATATATTTTTTCAAGTTAGCCTCTGCCCTTTTCAATTCTGCCCTGTTCTCATCATTTGTATTAATTTCAATTGGATTTCCTTGACCTTGACTTCATCTTCTAGTGTTGCTACCTGCTGGAAAATATTTCCAAAAGTCTCCTTACTCGACCTCACCAGTGCCCCTTTCACTTTTTTCATTTTAGCCTGAAATTCAATAAACAGGCAACCCACAAAAATTCCAGTTTTCATCAATTATTTTCTGAAACTGGGGGGTGTCTTGCAAAGAAATTGAGAAACTTAAAAGGCCTGCTTGTCAGCTCCTCCTTTGAGTTGCATATGATGTGTAAAGGTGCATGATCTGATCCTTGTCTCACTAGATGGTGCACTTTACTAGAAGGCAACAAATTGATAAACTCCTGATTCCCAAAAACTCTATCAAGTCTTTTAAATATTCTCTCCCTTTCAATCCTCCTATTCCACCAAGTAAGCATGCTACCCATAAATTTAAGTTCTGTTAAAGCACAATTATAACGCGTTGACTGACCTCCAACGCCTCAACTTGAGTAAAATCTAATCCCCCTTGCTTCTCCTCCTCGTTCAGTATAGTATTAAAGTCACCTCCCACCATCCTAGGGATATTAATATTTACAGATAGATCTTCCAACTCTTCCCACAACTCCAATCTTTCTAATGCATTACATCTAGCATACACTGCTGTACATATCATCTCCACATTGTTCTTGCTCAACTTTAAAGCAACTTGTTGCATACTATCTCTTAACACTTCACCCCTCCCGTCATCCTCCCAAAAAACCCAAATTTTCGCATATACGTTGCAATTTGCATTTTGACAACCTAAATTTCTTTTGTATTGATCTAGCTCCTTTGGACCCTGAAATGGTTCCATAACAGCTATAAGATTGTATTTATGACGCCTATTTAGATCCATCAAACTCTCAAACGCCTTCTGAGACTTAACCTATCTAATGTTCCAAAAAAATTGCTTTTCCAATCATTGGAAAATGTCTTCTGATCTTTCCCTACTACTCCTTGTTTTTACTTGAAGTGGTACAATATTCTGATTTGACTTTGATCTCTTTGTACCACTCTCCAATATTTTTAATTTTCTTGGGGATAAATCCCCATCTCTTCCCACCTTATCTATGTTATCGTCAAATTCATCGTCTTCATCTGTATCTCTTATTTCTTGAATCTCCTCCACTGTCAACTCTTGTAGATCAGGAAGATCATCCCTCAGACTCTCTCTATCTCTCCTCTTAATTTCAGACACTACCCCATCAATAGTCTGCACCCCATGGTATTCTACCATCTCCAAACATTTATTCCCCATATTACTACTTCTAGCATCCTTGTCATTGCGTCTTTCACTCTCTTTTTTGCGTCTTTCACTCTCTGTTTCGTCAGTGTTCCTCTATTCTTGATATTGTCACCCCCCTGCTATATCCACTATCTCCTCTACGACTGATCTCTTGACCTCTGCCCCTTTGTTTTTGGCTTCGTTCCCCTTATCAATTTCGGTTGTTTCTTTGAAAACTTCCTCAACCCATTTCCTTGTATCAATCCTCTCCACCCCTATCATTTGTCCACCCTCTGTCTCCCCACATTCTCCAGATCATTCAATGCCCCAAAAGAATTACCTGTTTTAATCCCTTCCTGTTCTTTTTGAATATTTTCCTTATTCCAAACCTGTTCTGTTTTCCCTCCCCAATGTCGACCCCCTCCTATCCCCCTTTTATTGGTATGCACCTTGAAAACGTTACTGTCTTTTCCTAACGTATCCTTCTGGATTTGCCCCTTCCTCTGCTAACCCCCCTTTTTCTCCTCTTGCTTGTCGATCCCTTCGTCCTTCCCCACCTCTGCCTTTGGACATAATTCTGGATGTAACACGTAAATTGCTCCTGATCATGTCCTTGAATTTTACAATTCTTGCAATATTTTGGTACGTGGTCATATCGGAATGTGATCCATTTCTCAGTGATCTCCCCTGATTGCTTCCTCATGCCTACGCTTATCCTTTTTGGAAACTCGCGTAATAAATCAAACTCCACCTTTACCCTTGCACAACTAGGTCGAGTCTGATTCCTTGTTTCTAGGTCTACTTGTAGAGTCTTTCCAACTGCAGCTGCCAATGAAAAAACTGCTTCTTTCACAAAGAAGTTGGGAGGAAGCGATGGAAAAGATGTCCATGCTATACTTGTTGATGTTTCCTCCTCCGAATCAAACATTGGCTCCCACTTCAACGTTTGCATTGGATATGTCCAGCCACGATGCAGTATATAAAAAGCCGGCTTTGACAAGATTCACGTAGTCTCCAAGCATGATGCCCTTATTAATATATACCTATTGCTTAGCAAAGCTATGTTACATTCACCTTTCAACTCGCATTGTTTTGGAATTAATTTTCTCATATCTTGAATCTCAGGCCAGCCATATGAAAATTTTCCTATTACTGCGTACTCCAGATTTTCTTTCACAATCATGTGTTCCACCTCCTCCTCATCCCATACTATTCTAGGTTCACCATGTAGGTGCACAATAGGTTTTAATACCGTCACTTTAACTTCTCGTAATGGATGTGCTGCTGCTAAATAATTAAGCTTAGGCACTGACTCGCTTTCCTTTGGATGTAGATCAACCCCAGTGGGAGGTTGCCTAGGCATTTTGGTGGTCATTGCCACCAGAAATTCACAAATATTTTAGGCTCCCGGCGGCAACTTTTTAGACTATTTTCAACCTACTTTTTGTCGTATATGTTGTTAAGACTTAATATTATTCAAACCCTGGTTAGAATTACCTAAAAATAGATTTTAAATCCAACTTGAGTTAATTTGATTAGTGTAAAATTGTATATGATAGTAATTTTTACTTTCTTCTATATTTAGCTCGAGAAGAGGTTTTAAAGTTCTCTATTTCATGATCAATAGTCAAGGTGAGGTAAAAATCAAGTGAATATTTGTACTTCAAGATTTCGATTCCATGTGAACTGAAAATTTTCATTTCTTTAGTCTTTTTGTTGTTCTTTGCTTGATGAACTTTCCAGTTCTTTTCAGTGTCAACTCTATTTTTAGTTGTGCAAATCCTTGTCAATATTGATAAATGAACCTGTGGTAGCTTTTCTAAATTTGTATAGAATACAATTTTCTGTACAATTGTATTATGTACAACCTATGTACAATTTCCTGGACAACCTATGGTAGCTTTTCTAAATGTCACTACCAGGATAATGTAGCTGCAGTGGCTCGCCAATATGTACGAAGTATAGTAGGCTCTGTTCAGAGAGTTGCAATGGCCATAGCAACTTCTTGACTCACCTCTTAGTTAACACTTAAATCCTTCCCTTGGTCACCTGAAGCTGTCACTTTAGCAAGGTGGATTTCCCGGAGCTATAGGTATGGGTTTTAAACGTCATTGCTGTGACATTGCATCGTTACGTGTAAAACTTCATATCACTAATCAACCTGTAATTGCAACAAAGTAGGAAAAAGAATTACTTTTGACCTCGTTATACTTATTTCTTTTAACTTCAAAGACTTGTAATGCAGGCATCTGCAGTTTTTACAGTTGCAAACTAGGCTGGTCTTGACATGCTTGAAACCACTTTGTTAGCTCTTGAGGATCTAATGCTTGATAAGATTGTAGATGAAGCTGGTCGTAAGGTCCTCCTATCGGAGTTCTCCAAGATCATGCAGCAGGTTAGACTACTACCATCAAACTTTAATTACATACATCCTTCAACTTAGCAAACATGAATAACAAACTAGTTCCAATAAATATCAGAACAAAATTTGATACAGCAGTATTTAGCATCAAGCAAGTTCGTTTTGACTTCACAAGTGCTAGACCACTTATCAACTACATGTTATCAACTGATACAAGGAAATGTTGTAAAGGTAGTAAGTGAAGAATTTGACAAATTGTTTTGTTGTGATTTGCCTATCTGCTAGTAGGAATATTTGTATCTAGCAAGGGCAGGCCAATATTATATGAGCAAGCGATAGCATGGAAGGTTCTCAACGGCGAATACAATTTTCAGTTTTGTTGTGCAAATTGTGAAACTATGGTAGCTATTCTAAATTTATGCAGAATACAATTTTCAGTTTGAAGGGAGACTACATTCTGTTGATTTGCTGAATAAATCTGTGTTCAGGAACTGTATTCACGTGCAAAAGCACAACAAGAAGAAATTCTATATCTTCGGGAACAGATTGCTCTTGCCAGGTGTGCCATTTTCCTTGGCCTTTTGCACATTTTTGCTTTTCACTTCAGAGTTAATATACTTATGGTTCAACCTTTAACTTAAGAACATTTTTGTCACCGTATGATCAGGAATCACAGCTCTTGAATGAGAAATAACGACTTGAGAAGAAATTTTTTGAACTACTCATGATTTATTTTTCTTATGACTGAATTTACTTGTTTAATTGTTTGTTCTATACATTATTTTAAATTTTTTATTTTTGTACTCATAGGCACTAGATGAGAAGCAGAACGAAGCTATAATATCTGCCTCAAATGAACTGACTCGGAGGAAAGGTGATCTTGAAGAAAACCTAAGATTAGTGAATGAGTTAAAGGTAACCAATCAGAAGATATAGGCATTGGCAGAGTCGCATTCAACCTAGATTGACTGTGAATTCTTTTCCCTTTTTTGGGAATATAAGCTTCAAGTTTTAAAAATTATTTCTCTACTTGTGGTTCTTAACGTTACTGCACAATATTGGTTGCTTCTCTGCAGTTCTTAACAATAATTTTGTTGTTAAGTCATCTATCGATCAGAACTGAGGGAGAAGGTATATTTTTCATTTCCTTACATCAACTTTAGTATAGTCTGTTTTTTTTCAATTCTTAGACTCTAATTCATATATAATTGAATAATAAATTAACTTATCTGGTGCCTGTGTTTATAGTTTGGTGACCTTAGCAGTGATAAACACCAAGTGAAGAGAAGGAAGGAGAAGATCTTTGTACATATGGTAGCGAGAAATCAAATGTTGAGATTGAATTGTTTATAAGACCACCGAAGTGAAGAGTAAGGCTTCTCTAAAAGAATTGATTGGTGTAGTATCCTCTTGCCAATCTGCAGTTAAAGGGGTAGTTAAATATTTGTCAAATAGTCTTCATGTTATTTTCTATTACTTAAATCGGTAGTCGTGCATAGATTACTTTGCATAAATTACTTGAACATGTAGTCGGGCATAACAACTCGTCAGGTAGTCCACAAAAACAGATGCTTGCACATCCCGCAGTGGCAGATTTTTCACTCATTGTGATTGGAATTCTACTCTTGAAAGTATTTTGGAGGAAGTCCCTTCGATATGCAAACCATTTCTAGCAGACCAACCGGTGAACATAAGGTCATTGATTCAAATATACAAGATTGGGTTTGAATGGGAGGTTATGAAAAGAATCATCATAGAGAAAACATTAGAAGACTCATTTTAAGTGTAGAAGGAAAAGAGGTGAAAAAAAGAGTACCAAACATGCAGCAAAGCATAGTTGCTGGTATGTAGATTGATGGTATTTCACATAAGAATATGAAAGAGTTTGGTAGACTTCATATATCCCTTGCCATCATGACTCCCTCCGCCAACACCTGCTGTTCGGGCAATCTTCAGCTCAAACCTATACCAAGCAAGTGTTCGAAGAATCTTTGTTGCCTGCTACCTTGGCACGACAACAAGTCTTTAATCACAAAAGGAAGAATAAGATCCTCTCGATATTACATATGATCGTGATCCAAGTTGTCATACTTTCACCGACTCAATTTTCTTCTTTCTTCATTGTTGAACACATTCTTTTTATTTGTTTTGATACCTTGAACACAATCATATAGGTAATTCATATCTTTACCACTAGAAGACAATAAAGTGGATGTATTAAGTTTTTGATTGTTCTTATAATTGAATGACAACGTCTGAGTTTGGTAATTCTTCGATTACTATTCTTGTATTGATTTCTCTCGCTATACGTATGAGTTAAAGGTGAATTCTTGGTCAATTATAATCTTCATAATAATTTCAACTAAAATAGGTCTCATTTATCGGTAATTATAATTTATAATGTGGAAGCTTTACTGCAATAGTTATTGTTTCCAAATCAATGCCGCTAAAAGTAATTATTTTTAGCGGCAATATAATAGGTCTTTACCGGCATTCTAAATAAATGTCACTAAATATTTTAGTAACATTGGATGCAATGACAATAAATTAAATGCCACTAAAAGTTTTTGTGACAATAAATATTGCTGCTAAAAGGAAAATTAAATGTCACTAAAAGTCTCTTTTGTTGTAGTATGAGTGGTAAAGAATGCTCATGTCATAGTCCTTGAGCAATTCTAACCACCTCCTTTGTCTGAAATTAAGATCTCTCTGAGTGAACATATTGTAGGCTCTTGTGTTTTGTGAAGGCATCAACATGAACACCATACAAATAGTGATGCTATATCTTCAAGGCAAATACCACAGCCTCCAACTCTAAGTCATGGGTTGGGTAGTTTTTCTCATGAACCTTCAATTGTTTGGAGGCATATGCTATAACCTTGCCATTTTGTATTAGGATACAACCCAAACAAACTATAGATGCATCACAATAAACCACAAAACCTTGTGTACCCTCCGGTAAAGTCAAAATTGGGGCAGTAGTCAATCTCTTCTTCAACTCCTCAAAACTCTTCTGACAAGTTTCAGACTATTGAAACATAATTGTCTTCTAAATCAACTTGGTCAAAAAAGAGGAAATAGACGAAAAACCTTCTATAAATCTCCTATAGTAGCGAGCTAAACCCAAGAAACTCCTAATATCAATTGGAGATGTGGCTCTAGGACAATTTTATACTTCCTCAATTTTTTGGGTATCCACTCTAATACCATCATCGAAAACTATGTGACCCGAGAATGCCACAGACTCAAGTAAAAACTCATATTTAGAGAACTTTACATACAACTCTCTATCCTTCAACAATTGCAGAACTATATTGAGATGACTAGCATGATCTTCTTCATTTCTTGAATAGATTAGTATGTCATCAATGAAGATGATAACAAACATATCTAAATAAGGTTTGAAGACTCTATTCATAAGATCAATAAATGTTGCAGGCGCATTGGTCAACCTAAAGGACATGACTAAAAATTCGTAATGCCCATATCTAGTTCTAAAAGGTGTCTTTTGAATATCACATTCCCTTTCTCTTAACTGATGGTAACCAGATCTAAGATCTATCTGGAAAAAAACAGGTGGCACCCTGAAATCGATCAAATAAATCATTAATTCTTGGGAGAGGATATTTATTTTTTATGATAACCTTGTTCAATTGACCGTAATCTATATAAACCCAAGGGAACCATCTTTCTTTCACACAAACACGACCGCAGCGCCCCAAGGTGAGACACTTGGTCGAATGAAACCCTTATCTAATAGATCTTTCAACTGTTGTTTCAACTCTTTCAACTCTAATGGTGCCACCATATATGGCGGGATAGAGATAGGACGAGCATCTAGAAAAATATCTACACCCAAATCTATCTCTCTCTCTCACATGAGGGACTCTGAGAAGATCATCTGGAAAGACTTCTGGAAACTCTTTTACTATTGGAACTGACTGAATAGAACTCTTTCAACACTTGAGTCATTAACTGGACTAAGTGATAGACACACCCCTTATAAACTAACTTTCTTGCCTTAAGGTATGAAATGAAACGACCCTTAGGCACTGCTAAACTGTTTTTCCATTCTAAGACTGGCTCACTTAGAAACTGAAATTTGATTTTTGAGTTCTACGATCAACCGAGCCATACGGACATGAAATCAGTCCATACCAAGAATGACATCCAAGTCTATCATATCTTACTCAATTAAATCAGCCATGGTACTCTTGTGATTGATGGAAACGGGACAATCAAGATAGACTCTTTTTGCTACAATAGATTCACCAACAGGTGTAGAAACACTGAATAGTTCACTAAGTTGCTCCTGAATAATATGAAAGTTCATAGCAACATATGAATCGTTTTCACTATATACTAGTAGATTCACTAATCATTTCAAGTTTTATACCTTTGGCCGAGTATATGATGTGTTGGCAACATGATGTAGATCGATGTATCATCACTATATCTCTTCTGTGATGATTGTCCATTAAAGAAACTCTCAGAGAAGTTAAATGTATTTTATATACATCAGACTATTGTATTTTTACATATATTTCACAGTTATGTTCTATCCTTGTATATACACAGAATTGACATCATATTTTTAACCAACTTTTCTTTATGTGGAACTTGTTTTAAAATTCTTTATATTGAAATGAGTTCAGTTAAGTATTCATGATTTGAGAAGAGCCAAGGTAATTGTTTCTTTCAGAATCTCTTTTAAGCCTATGTTGTTTAATTATAATTCCAACTCTCATACTCGTACATTCAATGTATTGATGTCAATTGGTCTGAATTGTATTATGATGCAGACGCAGGTAATGAGAATCGGCATCAAGCGCACTCTTAATTCAGTTGAGCAGTCCAGAGTCAGTTGGTGAGCCTTCTTGCATTCAAGAGGACTTCTTTTATTGCGTTTAGTATTTCTTTATCAGGATGTTGTGGGGTTTGTCCCAACATCCATCACAGTTGTTTTAGAGTCTTCACAGATAGTGAGATAGTCAGATTTGAGTCTTTTAGCTATGTATTTTAAATATTTTGCTATGACACTTGAGTATCCATTTTTGGATAGTTTGAATGCTTTTTGTAAAAACTAATATTTTTCATAAGTTCTTTATTTGAGGTTATCTCTTATGTTTAAGTCTTCCACTGAGTAAGTAAGTTAGGCTAAGGGTTCGCTTGGGGCCAGCAATGGTTTTTGAGTGTCAGTCCCGTCCAGGGTGTAGGCTCTGGATGTGACATTCCAGTATCAATGCACTCCTTTCAAGCTTAAGATAAAATCATTAGCTCTCATCTAGAATCCTTAAGATACGCTTTACAACCTAAATGTGGTAAGATCCTATCAAATATCCACCACTAAAATCTTTCTTAAAAATAATGCTTAACCCAAACGTCCGTAGTAAGAAACTAGTTGGTTTCTTAAATGTGAATGAAACACTGAATCTTATTATTAGACCATGTCATACCACTGGTAACCCCTTAAGTAGTTAGTATTCTCATTTGACAATTGGCATATTCTTTTCAACATAACCCTAGTACTACCACACCATGAAAGTTCATTAGATACCTCACAAGAACACATCATACTTATCCATAAGATCAATACCCAAATAGACCATAAATTTCTACTCCCTGAATAGCTACAAAACATTACCAAATTTGTTCTATTTTAGCCCAAACAGTTTGCATTCTTTCTTAGATCAGGTCGACAACAAAGGTAACATACTTTTTAAATCTAACGAAGTAAATATTGCTACAATTGTAGCAGTCGTATCATGACCCTCTTCAATATACAATCAATCCATGGAATCATAGTAAAGATTCTAATCTCAATTGACGTAACCTAATTTCATCATTTGCTAAACACCCATACATGTTATGAAAACTTCACTAACTATATTTTCTAATGTAATTATGTTCAATTTCTAGATGTCCCTTACGAAAATTCTTGCAGGTTGTCAAAAATCCGGATATAGTATAAATTTTGACCTCTTAGGCTGCAACAACGATCTTCTGTTTCTCTATATTTAGAAAATCAGTATCCAAAGTCAATTAGACATTGAAAAATTGCATTATGAAATTGCGAAACAGAATTTTTGAATTGGATCAATACTTCCAATTGAATAAGTATGAATAAAGTGTCCATGGATGAAGATAGAAAGTTTATTTCTAATCGTAACTTAATCTTCAAGTTTTTATTTGTAAAGAAGAAAGTGAAGCAAAATAGCTATTAAACGATGACTTTGGTTTACTACAGACATCAACATATTGTTTTAGCTCGGTGGAAACAAAATCCTTTTCACCTCATACGCTGTAACAACAATCTTCTGTTTCTCTATATTTAGAAAATCATCTCTCCTCGTATTGCTCAAAATTTGGGGTATATAATAGGATTAAGAAGCTAGAAAATGTTGCCTTAAGTCATAGGTAGTGTCTTTCCTAATCGACACTCAACATGAGACTATCATCACATTTTGCGTTTCGTCGAAAATTGTATGTTACAAATTAAACACTAAGCCTCTCAACCATATTTATTTTATAAAACAGGTCAAAACAATCATATATTATTTAAGTGGGAATCTTCCAACCTAAAAATTGAATTACTATTTACCCTTATTTTTATTTCTAAACTAAATTAAATATTAATATATAATTAATTTGATATTAAATAATAAGTTTATTTGAATTAGTGTATCAAACAAGATCTTAATCAATAATGCATTGATGTTATTTAATATCTTGGTAGTGTTTTCACCTTCCCGTATTTATTACAAAAGTTAAACTTCTCTTTGTTGCTAAATAGAACTTGAACAATCACTTAAGAATAATTTAGTATATACATAAATTATTTGATGAACTGAAAAAATAATTTTATGAGTTTACTAATTGCTATTATTATTTATAGGTATGTACGGAAAGTTCTAGACACAATGATCATCCAAATATTTTAGGATATTAAAGTTTCCTATCATTTTTATACTCTTATAATTTTTAATCAAATGAAGATAAAACATACTCTTCTAATTATTGCATCACTAATCAATAAAATATAAACTTAAATTCAACAGATGTTATTAGAAAATGGACTAAATATGCCTATTAGTTTTGTATAATAAATGTCTGAGGAAGTTATTCATGTACCAAATGTGAACAATGAAGAGTCAAAAAATAAATTTTAATTTTAATTTTTAACAAGTGGGGATAATAAAGAGTCTATCAAAAACACTCACAAATAATATTATATATATTCCATTCTTTCATACAAATTTGTGATGTGG